TAATCAATATATAACAACTGCCCCCTCTTTAAGTGTCCCTGCACTGTATACGTTAAACCCGTAACATAACACAACAATCTACCTAAGTTCAAAATGTTTTTACTGTTCAGTAAACCTTTTAAGAGGTTTACGCTCGCGTAAAGGATACATTCTTGTGGACTCGCTTGGTGTAACGTTAATAAGTGAGTCCATTTTACTAGTAAGTTCTCCACTGTCCCGATCTTTACTTTTCGTGTTAACTGGGGTGAACGTATCGAACTCGTTCGTAACCCCACTTGGTACTGCAGGTACCCTATCCTCCGTGTGTGCAGGAATCATTTCTCTTTTGTTTGTTTCTGTCTTCGTTTCTGGGAACAAATTTTGTTCCATCTCGGACTTCGCTTGTTCCGCGTTTTCAAAACTAGGTATGTGTCGTGGACGCAATTGCTCTTCATATCGTTTCCACATAACATCCCCCACTTTCACGTCATAATTTCTAGAACTAATTATCTTTACTATAACCCATGGAAGCCATCTTGCTCTTTTGCCAAAATTTCGTGCGAATACTGCTTGATTTTGACTGTACTTTGGTTGATTATCTAGACTATCTTGAAATATTTTAACTTCATTTTTCGATTGTTTCGCCCTAAACGCACTCAATCGGATCCGTGGTTGCCTGTTCATTTTAATAGCAACTCTGATGGTGACTTTCCTAAACCTGTAGGGGTAGCTCTGTACGTCAGCAAAAACTGGTCTAATTTTGTCTGCAATGGCTCTCCTGAGTCCACCATTTTCTTTAGTTTATCTTTAAAATTTCCCACATACCTTTCTGCCAATCCATTCGTTGCAGGATGTCCTGGAGCGGTTGTAGTATGTTGAATATTGTTATCGTTCAGAAATTTCTGAAACTCCTCACTGGTAAATTGGCTACCATTATCTGAAACAATGTGTTCAGGTAGTCCAAAATTGCTGAAAATATGTCGTAAAGCTGTTATGGTGGTAGTTGAAGTAGCATTAGACATTGGGACAATGTCAAGATACTTGGAATAGGCGTCGACAACGACTAAGAACATTTTCCCTAGATACGGACCTGCGTAATCTATATGAATACGCTTCCAAGGGCCTCCAGGCCAAGACCATGATGCTTGTTGAGATGCATTTGGTGATTTGGCTTCTTCCTGACATGCCATACAAGACTTAACTGTTTCTTCGATTTCTTTGTTGAGTTTAGGCCACCATAGGTATTTACGCGCCAATTGTTTCATCTTCACTATTCCGAAATGTTCGGCATGTAAATCCTTCAGTAGAATATCGCGTAATGATTCTGGAATTGCAACTCGAGTGTCCCATAACAAAATTCCATCTTCATGTGATAATTCTAATCGCCTAGTATGATAAAGTTGTAATTCCGTTTGTGGTTTTTCTGGCCACCCATTCTTCGTAAAATCTAGTACTTTACTTAAGACTGGATCTTTCTTAGTTTCCATGGCAACCATTGTGGAATTAACAATTTGTTCTCCTTCGATAAACATGACTCTAACCTCTACCTGTTCCTCCGGAGTTGGTTGTATGTTAATAGGTTTCCTTGAAAGAAAGTTTGCATGGACATTTTCTTTTCCAGAAATAAACTCAATCGTGTAGTTGTATGCTGCCAGAAGAAGGGACCATCTCTTAATCCGTGCGGACGCTAACTGTGGAACTGACTTATGTTCCCCATTAAAGTGATCAACGGTTTATTGTCTGTTAGGAGTTTAAAATGTCTGCCAAGTAAATACGGGCGGAATTTTGTAACTCCAAATACAATTGCTAACGATTCACGTTCAGTTTGAGCGTAATTTTTCTCAGCTGCATTAAGAGTTCTAGAAGCGTATGCTACTGGTTGTAATGTGCCATCATGAACAGGCTGGAGCAGTACAGCTCCAACTCCTATAGAAGATGCATCACACTGGAGTACTAGCTCAGCAGCTGGGTCGTAATGTCTTAATATAGAATCCGAACACAATGCCGACTTGATAGTGGTAAATGCTTCCTGTTCAGTTTTACTCCATTTCCATGGAGTTCCTTTCCGAAGTAATTTGTACAAAGGTGTCATAATTTCTGCGAACCCTCGCACAAACTTACGCAGGAAATTTGCTGTACCAATAAAAGATTGCAACTCAGAAACATTTGCCGGTGGGGCGGCATCTTTGATGGCTTGCACTTTCTCCTCTGTTGGTGAAATGCCGGCTTCCGAGGTTGACATTCCCAAATAAATAACTTCCCCGAGCATGAAATGGAATTTCTCACGCTTCAGTTTAAGCCCGCTCTCTAGTAATCTTTGCAAAACACGATGCAAATTCCCCATATGAATCTCATCAGTTTTCCCTGTTACTAAGATATCATCAATCCGAACGCAGCATCCTGGAAGACCTTTGAGTACATTTTCTATAGTACGTTGGAAGATGGACACCGCACTGTTTACCCCAAAAACTAATCGTTTGTACTGGCATAAACCATGATGGGTATTTATTGTTGTGTACTTCCTACTTTCAGGGGTGAGTTCTAATTGATGGTATGCCTGTGAAAGATCAAGTTTCGTAAATTTCGTTCCCCCTGAAAGGTTGCTTAGTAACTCTTCAAATGTAGGTACTGGATATTGTTCTAATGTAGCTGCCTGGTTAATTGTACCAGAATAATCTCCACAGATCCTTACATTGCCATCAGGCTTAATCACAGGAACCGTCGGTGAAGTCCACTCCGAGTGCTTTACTTTTTCAATAATATCACCCTGGACTAGTTTCTCTAATGCTTCTTCGTATTTTTTCCGAATTGCAAAAGGTACCACTCTGGGTTTCATAAACACTGGGTTATCATCATTTACTCTTAATGACACTTGTGCCCCCTTCAGTTTTCCTACTCCTCTTTCATCGAACAGTTTAGGATATTGTTGTATAATATCCTCTGCAGTGGTAGGAAAAATACTGAAAATGTTGTGCCAGTCTAAATTTAGTCATAATATCACGTCCTAGTAGTGATGGTCCTTCAACCACTCGAATATTTATGTCACTTACTTGTTCTCCCACTTTGACTTTCATGTTGTCTTCTCCATGGCACTTGATTTCATTTCCCGTATAACTTTTAAGTACCACTGTAGAAGGTTTCAAAACATTTGTGTCACCACCCATTCTTTCAAAATCACCAGAATTTAATAATGTTACTGAACTTCCAGTGTCAATTTCCATGGAGACTTCTTGACCATTAATATTCACTCCCAATTTGTATTGTGGCGATATTTCTGATTTCTGTCCCACAGAATTTATATTCTGCATAAAAATAGTTACTGGTGTACCGTTGACAGAATTCATATCACTGTCACTGTCACTAGATTCATCAGTATGTGTTGCTACAATGTTATGTGCCTTGGCATTGCTATCTGCCTTCTTTTTCTTGAAACATACTTTTGCCAAGTGTCCCGCCTTTTTACAATAGTTACATGTTGTATAGGTATGGCTGCACTTGTCTGCCAAATGTTGTGTAGATCCACATCTGAAACAAGTTTTCCCTTGCTCAAAAGGTTTTGCCTTGTTTGCATCCCCGCCTTTGAAATGATATTTCTTCTTGTTTGATATACTGTGGGCTTGTGTGGTTTCCGTTCTTTCCGCACTGAGAAGCAATTCTTTCGATTCTTTCTCTGCTAGTTCATCTGCTTGGGCAACCTTTACTGCCTGATCAAATGTCCTGTCTTCAGAAAGAAGTTTCTTTCTAGTACTTCTACTTCGAACGCCCCCAACAAATTGATCTCGTAATGCCCTTGTAAGATAGGTGCCAAAATTACAATGAACAGCTAAACGCTTCAATTTGTTTGCATATTGAGCTACACTTTCGCTTTCCGTTTGAACTGCTTGATGAAATCGGTATGTCTCTGCGACTTCGAGTACTTTCGGTTTGTAAAATCCTTTGAGTATTGTAATAATTTCTTCGTACGACTTTTCAGCTGGTAAATCAGGGAGGCAGAGATCTTTCAATGTACTGTATGTGCTTTTCCCCATCACCGAAATAGTTACGGCGACTTTCCTTTTGTCTGCAGCTTGTTTTGCAGCTTCATTTGCATCTGCTGCGACTTGGCCAATGTTATTTGCAATAAAATATGCATTCAGTCTCTCACTGTAATCTATAAAATCCCCGCCATCGAAAGGTTCCAGAACGCCGAAGCACGTATTATTTTGCTGTGCCATGTAATTTTAATCCTCGTCGCCAATTTGTAATGTATTTCTCGTGTAGCCGAGTAAGGATTGAATGCCAAAATAACCTTTAATCTCCAAATAAGTGTAATAACGACTATTTCTAAAAAGAACTCCTCGCCCTCTCAACTCTCTATCGAGACTCTCTTGCGCATGCGTCTATACACAGTACTTCATATAATCAATATATAACAGAAACTCCGTATTTTTCGAAACAAGAGTATACTTTTGAGAAATTTCAACCTTTCTCTCAATCACCGATATTGTAATTGAGAATAACAGCGGATTATCGATAGCGCGTCAACATCAGAGGCATCATCTTGAACTTTATTAACATGAATAATAATTTCAACAATTACATTTTCATCAAGCGGATGTGTTTTTCTAAGCCAGTTTACTCGATATTTTGATTGGTTGCCAAAATCCACCCAATACCTTAACATCAACGCCTTTATCCAAAAATCAAACCGGGATTCAGCAATCGAGAACTCATATCCATCATTTTTTCCAGAATTTTCTATCTCTTCAAACACCATGTCGTCGTTTGGAGGCAAATTTTCGTCATTCACCTCTAGCTCTGCTGAAAAAACTTCACTTTTCGAACTCGTCGCCTCCCCAAAAACGGATTGGTCACCCATTTTACTCAGAAAAAATGTTATGTTGTAGAAACGGGCTCAGCAATATAGTCTAGCGTTTTTTTGAAAAATAATATAACGAACACATGTTTTTGTAAAAGTTTTATTAAAATACTCCTTTAAAAGTGAATAAAATGTAAAACAAAAATAACTCGGAGTAACATTTGGAGGTCCCACCGAGACAATGGAAGGTAATATGTACAAAAATCGATGTTTGGACGAGAAAACACACGAGATTTGCGAGATTTATGATACTTTATATACGTGAGTTATTGACAAATTGTGGATATTGTATATATATGTATATAAAAGTTTAATACAAGTTCTACAACGCGAAGTTGGATGATCTACTGTTGAAAAATGTCCGAGGATTTGATTATGGAGCTTCAGTCTCGTATGCTGGTCTTAAAACAAATGGAATTAGCTCGATTTGGAGAAGAAATGAAATGGATAAAGGCAGAAGAAATTGGAGAAAAGGGTAGGTTGGAACTGATTAAAATTATACGTACAGTATTTGAAGAAGAAGTACTTAAGTGTAATAGCGAGCAGCTTGACAGTCTATTGGGGAAAATACAAACTATTTTAGATAGCAAAGCAATGAGTCAAAATGAGGAAAGTGTGAAGGCAAAAGAGAAGAGTGAACAGGAACTGGAACAGCTCAAAACACAGTATGAAAAGTTACTAGTAGAGCAGGAAAACTCAAAGATCAAATAAATAATGTCCAAACCCAAAATGAAACAACTGAGGACATAACTATAACTAGTGAATCAGTAACACAACAAGACAAGCCACAAAGTGCATTTCTTAAGATGAAAACAAGCATGCTCCGTCGGGAATTCAAGATACAAGGACAAATCGGAGAGCCAGGGCATAAAGATAAACTAGCATATCAGTCATTCATTTCACAGATTGAAATTGGGCTGCAAAAGGGTTACACAGAAGAGGAAATTACCCATGCTGTTGTTAGAGCTGTTCAGGCTGGGTTACAACTACGAAGTTATTTGGAGGGAATAAATGGGTTGACATTACCACGATTACGTAAAATACTACGTTTTCATTTCCAAGAGAAAAAGTGCTACCGAGCTCTACCAGCTCTTGGCTAATATCAGTCAAGCCCCAAAAGAAAGTCCACAAGAATTTTTAATACGTGCCCTGACGATTCGGCAAAATATAGTGTTTGCATCAAATGAATTGGATACCAAGATCAAATATGATGAAGGGTTTGTCCAAGGTCTATTCTTGCATGCCCTAGAAGCTGGCCTTGCCAATGAAACCATTCGGGAAAAAATGAGGCCACTCTGTAAGAACGAATCAGTGGCTGATGAAGAGCTAATTGAAGTAATGAGCTCTGCGATGGATGCTAAATCAGAAAGAGCCACGAAGTTCAACCAGGTGGGCCGAGCAAAGTCCTCGCCAAAGATCTCAAAGATAGAAACCGGAGCGCCACCAAGACCTGCAGGGTCACCAAATGCACACGATAGTGAGATACTGGCCACATTAAAAGCTATCCAGGCAGAATTGAATACAGTTCAGTCCGAGGTGGCTAGCTTGCGGACGAAAGTAGACCAGAAAGATTCCCCTCAAGGACACCCCCTTCCAGTACCTTCATGACGGGTCGTGTTGGTCAAAACCGAAGAAATGATGGCCGTCAAGGTGACTATCCCCCATTGTGTAAAAAATGCCAGGAAGAGAATCAAGTTAATTATCCTCATTGTTTCAAATGTGGAGAAAGAAACCACACTGCCCGATATTGCAGGTCGGGAAACGAGAAGAGGCTACCCCTGAGGGACTAGGAGTAGCCGCGTCAAACCAGAATAAGTCCCACCTATGCAATGGTTGTAACCAAGAGGAATTTCACGCTAACTTTAAACGTTATTCTACCTGCAAACTGGTGTATTATTGCTCAAAATCATGTAAAAAAAACATTGGAGTGAACACTAAATACTTTGCAACGCCATTAAGGAACAGCTAAATCGAAACAATGAAACTCTCAGAGGACTGGGAGATAGTTCGGACACCTTTCTCCAAAGAAACACGCTGCAATTTCTAAACTAGTCGGTCGGAAATGCTCTGTTCGGTGTCTTGTAAATGATGTTGACATGGAAGCGTTATGGGACACTGGAGCGCAGGTCTCCATTTTCCCGGAACAGGTACTGTCTGACAATTTTTCTGATTTGAAAATACGTGATATTAGTGAATTGCTTGGTGCGGATTCTGGTCTGAATTTAACTACGGCAAATGGGACACCAATCCCTTATAAAGGCTGGGTAGAATTCGAAGCTAGATTTAGATTAAACGGAGAAGATAAAAAAGAAGTAACAGTACCATTCTTAGTAACACCCGAACAGTTGGAACAACCAATAAGTGGGTACAATGTTATTGAACTGTTTTTGCAAGAAGGTGAAAACTACTCAGATAACTTATCGGTGGCACACCATATAGTGTCAAGTTTTAATAATGTTGGAGTGAAAGATGCAGAGCAATTGATAAACATTATCCAAAGAAATGATGGAGAGTTGTTTTGCCAAGTGAAAACATCCAAACGTCACATTACAATACCGAAGAAAGCTACCAAAACAGTACCCTGTCGAGCAAATACGGGAACGATTGAGAATACACGACCACTACTTCTTGAACCTGATGAAAAACAAGAGTGGCCCCCCGGATTATTAGTTCATGAAACCTTAACATCCGTGAAAAAGGGAAAATCCACTATCATGCAAGTGCAAATGACAAACGATACAATGCATGATATCGTACTACCTGGACGGACTGTTTTGGGAAGCCTTGAACTTATTCGTCCTGTTACACCAATTGAGGTGAAATTAAAGGAAAATGTAGATGAGAAAAGAGTTGATATGATTTGTTTTGCTGCTTTCCAATGCGACATATCGGGATTTAGTCAAGAAATCTTGACAATTGGTTGACAATATGAAGAATGTCAGGACGTATTTGTTTCCCAATGTATAGAAGGGATCTAAGTAGACTTCGATATAATTTCGGGTTAACAAATTCGTGTTAACTAACTTGAGATAGACTTCTCTAGCAGTTGCCATAGGCTTGCAATCACTCATGTTGAACTGTTCAAGAATGCTCTCAATGTATCTCTCTTGATCTATTGTGATCATGTTCTCGGATCTTAAAATTCGCATTCAACAAGAACCAGTGTAAAGTGCCTCGATCGTCCATCTTGAAATTCCATTTCAGCATCGATTTGATTGCATCAAAGACTTCATCGTTGACTCCTGCTACGATGATGTCGTCAACCCATACATTATAAGTCTCTGGTTTGCATGTAGGGGCGTAAGTATAATCGAAAAAGTCCAAGCCTTCGACTTGAGCAAAACCTTTTGCTACGTATCTAGCTTTGTACTTATCAATTTGATCATCTGCTCCTTACTTGACTTTGTATACTCATTTTCCAGGTAAAACTTTTCTATCTTTCGGTTCTTGAACAAGTGTCCAAGTGTTATTATTCTCAAGCGATTCGAATTCTGCTTCGAATTCCGAATAATGTGCTTTGCGAACTACCGTTTTATACCTTGAACTAGAGGGCACTCAGAGACTGCATACCTCCGCCTACGCGCAAACTATTGAAGTAATCTATTGTTATTAGAATTTGAATGGCTGGTGCATATATTATGCACGTCCTAATTACGCATTCAGTATAAAGTTTTATTTAAT